ATATATTCCCAAACACTAAGACCGTTTAATTAGATTATTGGATGCAAAGTATTGGTACTTCAACATACCAGGAAGAAAATTTCTCATCTCGATCAAACTATTTGTTTTATACTGAGAGGCTTAAACTTTTAATCAAATATAGTCAGAACTTCCAAGAGCACATCTCACAACTTCTTATCGAAGGCATAGACGATAAGATGCTGAGTTTGGTAATAGAGAACAAAACGACTTTGCATGATCATAATTATCCCTATTACAAAGATCCACAACGAAAAGAAAATGAGCAGAAATGTGATTGATGCTGATGGTGATCTTTGTCATATTAAATTACGGTAAGCAACTTTTCAACATGTTTTGCTCCTATGAATTTAATTATAATATCGCGCAAGTCTCCTCGAGTTCTGAGGAAGTCTGTGGAGCAAGACAGGAGGAATTATTGAGGCTGTAGGCTTTGCTTTGTGCAGGCGGTCTGGAGCTAGCAGGGAGGTTACGGAGGTTCCCCCACTGTGGGAACCCTCTGGTTTAGGTTTATGTTAATATTGATGATTTTTAGTGGTCTTAAGAGCTAAATGCAGAGTTTGTGTGTTTTATATTCATTTATTTTTCTTGTCAATGCAGGTGAGCTGCATATCACCCCTCTGACAGGAATCCTGCAGATGAGACCCAGCTTCTCTTACTTGGACAAAGCAGACAGCAAAACTCGGGAGCGGGAGGCGGCCAATGAAGGTGTCTGTTTTTCACATTATTTGAAATCAATATGCTACCATTAAACACTCAAGGTAAAGGGACTATGACTATTTTTGTTAATTCTTTTATAAAATGTAGGTTCACATTTTGATATTTAACTAAATTTTCCTTTTATTTGATTGATAAAGGTATCCTGTCTCAATAATAAAAGGTTTTTACATGTATGTGAACAGAGTTTTGTCCTTGCAGGAGGAGATTCCTCTCAGGATGAAGCTGAGGAGGAAGCCAAAGCCATTACTGTGAGTGTTTGGATTAAAAATCTAAATCGTCCTGACGACATGGACTTGTAGTTCCCATAAAGAAAAGATGATTTTTTTTAAAAGTTTTTTTTTTTGGTTTTATGCTTCTTCAGGTCAGGTTTTCGAGGCCTGAGTCTGAGCAGGCCCGACAAAGAAGGATCCAGTCCTACGAGTTCTTGCAGAAGAAGCAGGCAGAGGAGCCCTGGATCCACCTGCAGTACCATGGTGTTAAGGTAGAGGGAGCCAGCTCCATTATTTTTTTTCCAGAAGTATTGATCGGATGATTTTTATTTCTCTCTCTGTGACCCTATGAGCCCCTTTGTTAATACAAATACGTAACACTTTGTATTATTTGGGTTCAGGAGAGCCGCTCGGATCATGAAAGGCAGTACCTCTTCTGTCAGTCAGTGGACGCCTCGCAGAACTCAGAGCTGGTCAAAACTCCAAAGTAAGTTTAAAAAAAACAAAAAAATATTTACAACATTTAGATCATCTTTTTTTTTTGTTAGCAGGAAAAAGGACGAAACATTTTTTTTTCTGAAAGGAATATATCAAAGTTGAGGATCTAGTTTTCAACCTAATGACTTTGATGGACATTAAAAAAACAAAAACAAACAAAAACAAAAAAACCTCTTGGTCTAGATGATTCATCATAAACACAGGACTTTTTGTAAATTTATAAATGTCATCATACCAGGACCAGGTTGTTGTCAAAACGATAAATGAACAAACTGTGTCCGAACATCCACCCTAACCTCTAACCCCTCCATCAATATATAGAGCAGGGATTATATAGTGAACTTTATAGTGAACTCTGTTAACTGACAGTTCGGATGGATGATCACTGCTTTTCGCTCCCCGTTTTTCACGTGACTCCCCCTCCTCGCACAATGCCTGTGCCATCTTTGTTCTTTTTTGGGTGGCGAGAGAGAACAAAGATGGCACCATGATGCTTTGCGAGGAGAGCTTTAGCAAAGCACTTTGGGATATATCTGCTGGTCTAGTGACCGTTGATACACACTGCGTTTCGCTTCCCTTTGGTCAACTGACTCCGGCTCCTCGCACGATGCCTGCGCCATCTTTGTTCTCTCTCACCCCCAAAAAAGATCCCATGATTTGTTGCGAGCACATATATCTGCTGGTCTAGTGACCATGGATACACACCACCTTTCGAGGTGAAGTGTGGGAATTTTCTTTTTTTTTTTTTTATAAAATGGTTTAACCCCTATATAGCACTCTATATAGGGTTAGGGTGGACATTTAGACACAGCCAAGACCAGCCTGGAAATGAAGGAAGAAGAATAACAGGTTAAACAGTATAAGGATAAAAAACAGGCTTTTGTTGCATCACTTCTTCTACAGTTTATTACCATTCAACAGAAATTTGTAACTGTCCGATACTTTGGATGTGGTTGAGATATTATTATCTAACCAGTTTTGTTATTGGTAGATTAATAATGGAGGCAACTTAATTCTAAGAAGAGTCTAGATTTCTTTCTGTGCTATTCTTTCACAGCTGTTATTCAGCTTTGTTTAGCCCTGCCTGTCTCATTTTTCTCTGATCTTCTCAGGGAGTACTTGGCCATGCTGATGCCCCCCCTGGAAGAGGAGAAAATGTAAGAATTCCTCTATTTTTGCATCTGTTGACATAAAGAGGCCACAGAGATTCATAAATAATGTGATTGTCTTCTTGTTTGTTAGCGCTAAGCCCGTTGGTCCCAGTAACGTACTCTCCATGGCTCAGCTCCGCACTCTGCCACTTGGAGACCAGGTTAAGACCCTGATGAAGAACGGTAACAAGTTAAACTAAAAGATTTAATGAAGCCATCATTAGTCATTACTTACTTCAATTTCTTTCTTTAAATTTTTTACACCGTGCAGTCAAGGTGATGCCTTTTGCCAACCTGATGGGCCTTCTCGCCACCGGCACCGATCAGACAGCAGTTCTGCGATGCATCCAGCAGGTTGCACTCCTGGTGCAGGGAAACTGGGTTGTAAAGAGGTGAGACTTCTTGCTTCCCACTTGTGTATTAATGAAATGTTTACATTGTAGAATAAAAGAGTAGATCTAAAGTCACTGATGGTGTTATTTTTTTTTAATCCTTTTGTCATCCACAGTGATGTTCTGTATCCTAAAAACACCTGCAGTGCTCACAGTGGTGTTCCTGCAGAAGTGCTCTGTCGTGGTAGAGACTTCGTGGTGAGCTGCTGCAGTTTGGAATGAAGCGATCTTAATTAGGGCTGAATGATGAATTGCATTTGCGATGATATCATAATATGATAAAGCTAGGTTTTCTAACCGCAAAAGCCGTGATTTGGGGTGATGAGGGTGACTCGCTAGCAATGGAGCACAGAGGGAAAATCAATACTCGCCTGTGACTAACTTGTTGAACAATGTCCTCTGGCTGGACAAAAGCTGACACAGCTGAAGATCTAGTACCAAAGCGGAGCTGTACGTCACTTGTGTGGAATTATTTTGGGTTTAAAAAAGACGGCGCTGCGCAGCGTCAGGTGTTGCAGGACACGCCTTGCTACTGTTGGTGCCTCACGAGGTAACATGACAAACTTTTATCAACACTTAAAAAAAAACACAACAAAGCCGTGTATGATAGATGCATGAAAGAAAAACTGCCTCAGCGTCAAGTAAGCAGCGTACCAGCTGACCGGACTGTTTGTGTTACTCCTTATAAACATAATTTGAAATTGCAAGCTGAAATAACTCATGCGATAACGGAGTTTATAGCGAAAGCCATGATGCCCATTAGTATAGTGACCAAGCCCGGGTTTGTGGTTTTGGTAAGCATGATGGATAAGCCGTATTTAATACCCTCACACACATATTTCAGCCAAGTCGCCATAGCCGAGCTGTGCAAAAAATGCAGAAACTGATTTGCAGCGGGGCTAAAAATAAAAAATAAAAGTGGAGGTTTCTGTAACAACTGCTGATTTGTGGTCGAGCCATACGGCTGAGCCATACCAGAGTCTAACAGTGCTTTATGTTGACAAAGACTGAGTGAATATATTATTTATATAACTGTTCAGAAAGATTTTCTTCTTAGGATTTTAAAAGTTCATACACTCTTTTTTTTGTGTTCATTTAAGAATTTGATTTACCAACAGAAATTTTAACTGGTTGAAAGAAGATATTTGTTCTCTATACTTTTCCTGCACTTCAGTAAATGTGATGCAACTGACTGCAGATCGGTCAATGTTATTGTTCTTTCTTATTTTATTTATTTACTTATAGACTGTAAGCAGTTTTTAAGGAGTGCAGTCCATATTGTTATATATCATGCTTCATGAAACAAAAAGATGTTAATGAGGTAAAGCCACAAATTAGTTTCCTTTATCGTTGTAATCTGTGCTTTAAATAAATCTAATGATTTTTATGAAAATTATTTATTGTTTGTATTTGTTTAAAAAGACATATAATAAATTAAACTGAAGAAAAAAAAAATTGGCATTAAAATCACAATATTAAGATTAAAAAAAAAATCGCAATGACGTTATTTTCTAAAATCGTTCAGCCCTAATGTTAATCAACCCTCTTTTTAGCACCGACACAGTCATCATTATGTGCTTCTTTATTTTTAGATGTGGAGGTTCACACAGGAGCGCTCCGTCATGAGGAAGGAGATCACATCCATCATCAAGGTGAGAAGTACCTTTGCGTAAAACGCATGTATTTCCTGACATTCTGACATGTTAAAATACAAATTTAAATTTGGTTGTTTTATTGTGGAAAAGTTCCTAAACTGAAGCAAATTACTTTTTGGCAACCAGAAAACATTCCCTAAACGGACCAAATTCAGCTTTTTAGAATAACGAGAAGATGTGTTGGAAAATTATTGCTATTTCTATCCAACTATAATGATTTGAATGAACTTTTAAAATGGTGGTGAAAATTTAAATTTAAAGGCTTGTTTTTATCTAATGGTTTGGAGTAAATTGACCAAGAAGTTATGAATGGCATTAATAAAAAGGAAGTAGGAAGCAGCATGGTCCACACATCTGAGGAACAATGCTTAAAGGTTTGCAGGAATGTGGCTTATTGTTATGTCGTCTAGTATTGGTGATGTTAAATGCTGTCCATGGAAGCAGACAAAGAAATGCATTTCTTCGTTATGGTAATATCTTGGAAGAGGCTCATGATGTCATAACCTCTTTGGCAAATGTGATTCCATATCTGTTTATCTAGTAATCCTTCTCTGAAGGAGAAAACCACCTGAAATGAGCATTAAAACTTTGTTTCTGTTTCCATCAATCTTTTCTAATGCAATGCTTAATAATGTGAATTAATAATAATAAAAAAAAAATGGTGGAAGCACAGATATTTAGCATCACCCCGAACACAAAATCGTTGCAGTGAAGCATGGTGGTGGCACCATTATACTGTTGGATGACAAAGCAATATGTTAAGTAAACCTGTAAAAGGCTTTAATTTTTGTGTCTGACTGAAGTTTTTCTGATAACTCTAACAACCATAACTACCTTCTCCTTCCCTTTGCCCTCGTTAGCTTCCCCCAGAGGACGTGAAGGAGTTCCTGGAGCATGTAGCGACACCTCGGGTCAACCGCGGATGGGAGTTCCTGCTGCCCACTGATGTGGATTTCATTAAGAAGCACCCAGACGTTGCTCACAGACAGAACATGCTGTGGCTCGGCATCCAGAGCAAGTAGGTTGGAGTTAGTTTAGTTAGGGCTGAAGAATCTAATCAGTTTTATTTCAATCATCCCTGCTGGAAGGTGACCTTGATTTAAAGGGCCGTCTTAACTTCCACCGGTTCACTGGCGACCCATTTTGTATATTTACATCAAACACGGCAGTATGCTTGAAAATAACACTGGTTAAACTTTTACCAATATAGACATGTTATACATCCTTAGAAAGGTTAGATTCTCCACAATCCAACTACCAGATCCATTTTATGGACACCATGAGCACCAAAGCACAATTAAAAAAGATATATCAGCATAGTAAATCTGAATTTAAAAATGACGCTTCAACGTCCTACCTTTAAAGCGATCATGAGGCTGTATTATAAATCCAGTCTTAGATTGTTTATACTCCATTTGTCCAAAAGGGTCCATAGATTAAAAGTAATCCAGCATATTGGTAATAAAACATTCCATGATGAGAAGATCGCCACATAAAGTCCTGTTTTCTACCTTCAGAAAAGTTTAATCATTATAGCTAATGCTTATAGCTTCTAGAAGCAAATTGTTACCATATTTCAAATGAAACAGCATTTTCAGAAATGCTTTTTCATTTTAAGAATGTGGCTGCATTGTTTGACTCATAAATTAAATTGGTAATCAATCATCCTGTTTGCATTTTCATTTTCTTCTTTAACACTGCTCATCTTTTTAATTAATTAAAATGGAAAAGACAGACATTTGAGATTTATTTTTCAAAATGTACCCCAGCAAATACATACCAAAATTCAATTTGAAATGTAAAATTTGAAAATGACAAAGCATTTCCAGAAATGCTTTTTCATTTTAAGAATGTGGCTGCATTGTTTGACTCATAAATGAAATTGGTAATCAATCATCCTGTTTGCATTTGCATTTCCTTCTTTAAGACTGCACATTTTATGCCATAATCAAAAAGAAAACACAGCAGACTTTGCTTTTTCGTTTTCATGCTCTGCCAGCAAAGTACTGTTCATAACTCGCAAACGAAAAAGCATTCCGAGCGGCGGGTGCAGCAAAGATACGTCAGCAGCTTCTCTTCCTCAGGTCCTTGCTGACCGGGCTACCAACCTTGTTCGATAGGGGGCGCTGTGCACGTCTGCATTGTATTGTATTGTAAGCATACCGGCGGGAAACTCAGGAGCAGTCTGCGTTGCCACAGGTCCGTTAGAAGCAGGCACTTGCTGTAAAGCAGCAGCGGCCTCCCTCAGTAGCTCTGCCACTGATCTTTGTTGTCGTTCAGTGTCCCGATAGTCAGACCCCAGTTTCCAGCCGTCACGCTTAATTAGCTAACCATCTTGCTAATTCCCCAAACGTTTGGTCTTTGGTAAGTGTGTTTCCTCACCTTCCAGCCGACAAAACAAAAGTCTCCCTGTCAATTCATCTGTTGTGATTTGACGCCGTGAAAGCCCTCGAAATGTCACAAGCGCTCCCTCTCAGCCGCCTTCATGATTCCCCTCATATTATTCTTTATAAAGTCTGGCTGCTATTAGCAACTCTACATGCAATGTTTGGCTATGTAACCAATAAATTACCTTTAAATTAAGGGTAAACATAGCTAATTTGAATAGGGGTAAAATTGTGTAAAAGCAATAAGCACAATTTGGAATAATTTGGCACATTTTGAGAGGTCTGGAGATGCTGGTGACTCCAGAAAGTAACTCCCATTGAACTGTTATACCTAGAGGTCAGAAATTTTCAGCAGTTGTGGTTTACATGATGCAGAATAAATGTAATACAATGAGATATGCCTATTCAAAAGATACCTATTATTTTCGAGAAGAAAATAACAACTATGAGTCACGTTTTAACTGCTGCAGTTTAGGCTGCGTTTTAGTCGCATTATTTTGATTTATATTTTCAGAAACTAGACAGTGTTGGCTGTCGAATTATGAATCACATCTAATTTGGGCTTGTAGTTCCTTAGTTATTCTCTTTTCTATTGGGTATGCAAAAAGGCAAGGATTATTTAAAATTAGATGGGTGTTAAAGGGCAAAATTCCATCAATGAAACCTGCTTGTAAAATAATTATGTTTCAGAGCATTAAAATCCCACTAAATGTTTGCAGCTAGCAGTATCACACAGTGAGCTAGTTTATCATCCAAGAGCATAAGTGATGACCTGATGTGACTCTGAGCTCTGGAAATTAAAATCTTTTTTTTTAAATGCAAAATTCAGTCAGTAACCCAGCGCTAATATCTTGGTTATTTAAGTAATGTGCATCATTTCCTTAAAGTATTTGTTGTCTAATAGAGATTTTTAATGCCTGCAATCTCTTTTAAAGGTTAGAGAAAGTCTTCAACATCTCCAAAGAAGACTTTGTGCCAAAGAATCCCCCTCAGCCTGGTGAGTAATACCTCAGTTTGAGAATGCAGTTCTGTCTTTGAAACAAATGGTACACTGGTGACACCCGTGTGCTTTCTAGATCCTGTTCATGTCAGCGGAGAGCAGCGACTGATGATCGCCCAGGACCAAGCTAAAGAAAAGCAGGCATCGCTGCAAAGGGAGCTGGAAGCCAGACGTGCACAGAGCGGCCTTCAGATTAAACAGGAGCCCATCCAGGACGTGGAGCCGATGGACGCGTCGCCCTCTTTCCCTAACGGTTCTGTAAATGGTTACTCCAGTGCCAGCTCCCCCTGCTTGGATCAAACTAACGGAGGGAGCCCCTCCAGCAGCCCGGCCCCGGAGCTGCTGGAGTTTGTGACAAACACTTTTCGTAAGAACGTCGTGCTGACGCTGAATGAGCTGAAGAGACTCTTTAACCTCTACCTGGCTTCCATGCCGGCGGGACAACACGGTTTTAGCTCCATTTCTGACCACATGCTGCAGGACGCTGCACTGCTCTGCCAGTGCAAACAGATCATGGTGCCTGTAAGTATTCCCATCAGTGAGTGCTCCTCTGTTGTCGTGGCAACAATACAAATCCTGTTTTCTCCTCTTCAGTCAAGTTCTTCTGTGAGCGCATGACCCTAATATAGTTTATTTTCTGAATAAATAGAAAATCTAGAAAAAATCTACCCAACACCAAAGTAAAGGCCAACTTGCTTGACACATCCGGGCAGCAATCATTTTTATTTTCTACACAACTCCAGGCAGCATCTGTGCCGACAGAATTTCTGCACAGCGTAGCTTGGAAATGTAGAACTACGCCAACAAACTTCTGCTTCCTCGTGTAGTATGGTGTTGTCATTTTGTGGTTTGTGAGGTACATGCCCCCCTGAGCCGACCAGAAGAAAGGAAAAGCAGTACAGAGTATTAAAGCTGCAAATGTGACTCATTTTCTGTGTTGATTGTAAGTGCATCAAGCATAACCCAACCTTACATTCATTTCTACATGTACCGGGTTTTATTTCTATTACCGTATTTTCACGACCATAAGGCGCACCGTACTAAAAGGCGC